GAGAGACGAAGAAGAGAGACGAAGAAGAGAGACGAAGAAGAGAGACGTCGGCCGCAGAAGCCTAGGGGAGCCCGGTCAGAGAGCTAAAAATACAACTGTTTCCAGGAAGGGTGGGCACGGGGCAGAGCCTCAGAGGGACGGAGGGGACACAGAGTAAGACCCCTGTGGGGTGACAGTGGCAGTTCTAGAGGACACCCCACCTTCGCTCCAGAGCCTTCTTCCGCTGTTCGAGGGAGCTGAGAGAACCACTACTCAGGCTCGGCAGCTCAGATACCTGCCCTGTGGGGGCCTCAGAGCAAGAGCCTAGAATTGTCTAAAATGAGTATTCTCAATCTCCAGGCTTAGCTTCTTCTCCCAGTGACAGAGAGGCTGGCGGGGCGTGGAGTGAAGAGCCCAGGGAGACAGCGGGTGCCGGGTCCAGTGAGGGTGGGCCTGTCCCACCTGCTTCCCCGTGTGATCAGTATGGGAAGGACACATGGCCTGCACAGTGGAGCAAAGAATGGAAGAGCAAGGCCGGGGAACATGGGGAAGGCTAAGGCCAGAAAGGGGTTAGGTAACCCTGCGGGGGACACACAACATGTTCTGGAATGTCACAGAGGTGTACTAAAAGCTAAGTGGGACAGGTTAGCCAGCTCAGGGGTAGCACTTACATGCATACACGAGGCCCTGGGTTTGAAACCCCCAGCACTTTGTGAGCTGGGTATGGGGCTGGATACCCATCATCCAATGATCAGAGATTCAAGGTCACCCTCAGCTACACACAGTTCCAGGCTAACCTGGGCTGCAAGACATCTGATCTCAAGAAAAATATTTAAACCAGGTGGTAGTGGCACATGTCTTTAATCCCAGGACTGTGGAGGGCGCGAGGCTGGTGGATTTCTGATTTGAGGCCAGCCTGGTCTACAGAGTGAGATCCAGGCCAGCCGGGGCTACACGGAGAAGCCCTCTCAAACTAACAAACAAACAAACACCCCCCCCCCCACCACCACCATTTAAAATATGGCTTGGGGAGTGAGGTATTCTGGGAGCACCTGCTTAGCCAGAGTTCCAATAAACTGACAACCCACAGCCCAAGAGGCAAATCCAGACCTCCACAGCTCTCAAACCACCAAGCCCCCTGGCACCATATTGGTGCTTACTGAACAAGAAGCTTCCTCCCGCCAGGGCTACTTGTTTGAAATTCTTAGTTCCAACTGTCCAAGTCCTTTCAAAGTTCTCAACAGCTGGAGGTGACAGGGGACGAAAGGATTCACAAGATGACCTCTGAGTGGTAGCGTTAGTATCTGTACAACATGCTGTCCCAGTAGCACCAGGGTCGAAACTGGGGTGATAAAGAATCACTACAAATCCTGGCGACACAGACGAGAAACTGGAGACTTAGTGCTGCCAAGACACACCCAGTTTCCGGTAAGGTAGCAGACGAGGGCCCAGGCTCAGCTGAACACCAGTGTCAGGATGTCCCATGGTCCCCAAGCTACCCTGTAGCCACAGACACTAAGCACCTCAAGTCTTACGTCACCATTTGCACGTGGCGAAGACTCAGGAGACAAGTCAGTAGAGAGAAGCCTCAGCCGGCGGCACTGCCGGCCCCCACCTCCTTGCCCCGGTATGGCACAAAGTTCCTGGGCATCAGATGCCCAGATCACAGCCAAGAAGCAACAGGCACGGTGGAGAATGCACCTGTTGTTCACTAGTGACCATGTTTCCATTCACTGAGGCCTGCAGCCTCTGGTACATGGTCTGACCAGTCAGCCTCAGGATTGTGCTGGACAATGGGAGAGCCCAAGGCAGCAGAGGTGGGCAAACCAGCTTCTTACTTGGGGTCACCAGAACCCGGCCAGCACCCAACCAAGATGGGCCAGCTTGGGTGTGGTCCTCTGGCAGGAGTTTTCCTCCACTGGGTGGATGTTGCCTACCTCCCCTCCTGCTCTGGCCCCCTCACCTCTGCCAGCCACCAGGGCAGAGAACTCTGGGAAATCAGGGAATCTTGGCCTACTCATCCAGAGCGGACTTCTATTCCTCTGCAAGCATGAGTGTAAGCAGAGTCACTGTGGCTCCTGCAGAACCCCAGGGTCCAGGGCCTTTGAGACAAGGCAGATGGCTCCCGGTTTCCATACTTTGGGCTCCTGTCTCTCCAAGCAGTGAGTCCAGGAGTTGCCAGGAAGAGCTCACGTGTTGAGGCATAAACCGACCCATCTGTGCCATTGGTAGTCCCCTGACCGGCACGGTCATCACAAGACACAAGAAGTGTCCTAAGCCAGAGCCAGAAGGGACCTAAGAGAACCTTGTGTCAACGAGACCAAATTCAGGAAGAGCCAGCCTTTGGCCCAAAGTCACACAATGTCCCCAGCTCGGGAGGTTTCAGAAGGCAAATCTGTGGTCCCATAGGCGTCCCCAGTGACAAGTCCACTTGCCCACCAATGACCTTCTACAGTAGCCACTGAAGCTGCGGAGGGCAGAAGCAGGCAGAGAGGAAGGTACAGTGAAGCAGGGTGCAGGGCTGACGTCACATGTCAGTGGTCAGGGGTCAGGGCCAGAGGTATGACGACAGCTGTACCCGGGGCCAGCTCTGCCTGGATGTGGTGGGGAAGGGGAGATGCAGGAACACCACAGGCTGCAGACATGTCTCCCGCGGCCATGCCAGCCAGAGAGATGCACGGTGGGCAGGGGACATCCCACGAGCTAGTGGCCTGGTGCCTCTTACCTCTGGGCTCCTCTGCCTGTTTGGCGAGCTTGCGCAGCGCGGCGGCAAAGCTGGAGGAAGGCGCGGCCTGGGCCGACAGCGCACTGCTGGTGGCCGGGCTACCGGTGGGTACCAGGGCGCCATTGAGTGGCGAGGGGGTGAGGGGGTTGACGGTGGCGGTGGTCCTGGTCGCCGTGGAAAGCATCCCTACTGAAGGGGACTTGGGCTCATGGCTCATGCCTGAAACAGGAAAAGAAGAACCAGTGTCACCCAGAGAGCAGAGCGCCAGCGCCACGGGCACCGCAGCGGCATGCAGCGAGAGCCAGGGGCCACTTGAGAGCGGAGCACAGCCAGCGTTGCAGACAGCGGGCCCATCCCCCACAGTCCAGCTGGCCCCATGGGTCCGAAGACACCCCGGTGAAGCTGAACGCTGAACCAGCTCCCCAGAGCCAGGCCTACAGAGTACCCGGATGCGCCATATGCAGGGTCCCACCAGACCCAAGGGTTGAGGAGAGAGACGAGGCAGGGGCCGGAATGCCTGATCAGACAACGCAAGCAGCAGCAGGTGTACGGAACTGCCGACATCTCCTACGGCATCAGGAGGCCGGCTCAACAACCACCCCATAGTACAGAAAAGGAAAACTGAGGTCTGTCTGTGGGATCAACGCATACCCAGTGCCTAAATCCCTCTCAGGCCGGGTCCAGTCTCCTCCTCCTCATTCTCCTCATCTCCAATCTCCTCCAGGTGGGAGGGGACGATGGCCAAAGATACCGCCCTGGCGAAGCCCTTCCCTAGGTCCCAGAGCCTGAAAATGCTAAAGAATGAAATCTGCCTTCCAAACCACTTTGTAGCCTGGACATACTGGCCTCTTCCACAGAGGGAAGATGAGCTGGGGGGGGGGGGGGCGGGCACCACACACTTCTTTCCTTCAGCCTTTCCAGTTGCCATCAGGTACCAAGCTGCTTCCTGTCACGTGTGGAAGAGGCTCCCAGCTTCACAGAGACCACACCATAGAGCAATTTCTCACAAACGTCCCATCTTCCCCTGGCTCCTGCTTCCTCCACATGGGTGCCCCCAAAATAAGGCCACCAGAACAGAGGCTTCACAAGAAGGACACTGAGGTTCTGCACACCAGCAAAGGCTGCTCTGGGCAGCAAAGGATTCCCAGAGCAAGCAGGCTGGCTTCCAGTTGTCGCCAGGTCCTGTGGTGCATGGGGTCATGGCTTGGAGCAGGAGGCTGCTGAGCCTCGAGGCTGACCTGCGTCCATACCAGGCCCTTTTCTGTGTAGAGGATCAGGTAGCCACGGCATCCTGGGGACAGCTCCTAAGATCTAATCAGGGTGTCTCTCTAAACTAGTGGGGTTCTCAACCTGGGGGTCCTGATGTCTTTGGGAGGTTGAGTGACTTTTTCATAGGGCTTGCCTAAGACCATCAGAAAAAGCAGTATTTATTTATATTACAACTCCTAACAGTTGCAAAATTACAGTTACGCAGTAGCAACGCAACAATTTTTTTATGACTGGAGGTCACCACAACATGAGGAACTGTATTAAAGGGTCACAGTATTTATTAAGAAGGTTCAGAACCAATGACGCAGACGGGGAGCTTAGGAAGTAGCCAAGCCATTAGGCCACTGTCTACCACGCCTCTTTTAAGGAATGCAGATGGTGAAACTGAGGCCAGGGGTATACTGAGGCTGAGGTCAGGTGTACCGAGGCTGGCCTGCTACCACAGCTGAATGGTAATGTTCTTACTCTCCTCACATCCTGAGGCTCAACCCGAGCCCTGCCGTGCCTCGTCACTCAGAACTACAGGACTCCAGTGATTTAAAACACGCTCCCAAGTCTTGTCACTCATCCCTGCAAGACGCAGAGACAGGTCTGTATGTGAACGGATCTGACAACTCACTTCCAACAAATACATTGTTTTAAGCTTGGGGAGGGGGAGGGGCACATAACCCCTTCTTGCCTTCCAGTCCCTGGAGCAGACAGGCAGCACGCTAAGCCTTTTCTGTCGTAGACCCACAGAGACTCCAGGCACCAGGAGACCCTAACCTACTTGCCACACCAACTTTGGGGCATAGGATCGGGAACAAGCTGTGCACCTGAGCCCATCAGAAGCTAAGAAACGCCAATCTGCCAACAGACCTGACTGACCCTCAGCCTCCACTAACACTGAGAAGCCACCTCAGGAGCCATCACACGCCTCCACCCCTCGTTCCGTTCCGGGATGGTGTCCTTGGGCTCGCTCCATAGATATGAGTGGGTAGCCCAGCACAAGGGTGGGTTAGAGCAGGGCCCACTTCCCACTCTGGGGAAGAGCTATGTCTTGTGTGAAACAAGCTGCCTCAGACCCGGCAGGAGGATCCAAGCTTCTGGTGCCTCACCCAACAACCACCAGCACCAGGTGGGCAGCAAGGCAGATGGAGGTGCTAGGAGCGGCAGCTCACTGTACAGCTGTAGGCCCATCCCCCAAATCTGAGGAGGGGACCGTGCCACAGAGGGGCCTTTAAGATGACGATGGGTCTGAGCAGATACGCTGGGCCCACCAGGCTTGGCAGGATGACAGATAACAAGCTTTGTGGTGGGCAGGACCTCCCTGCACCACATGCTATCAAGATGCCCCCATCATGCTCCTGTGGGTGACCCAGATAGGACCCCACTCGTCAGAGAGCAGGGGACACACTGGTGGGGGCCTCATGCCCAGGGCATGGCTGCCCCTCTCTCCCACCCTTGGGAGGGGGGGTGTCCCCCAAGACTAGGTCCTGGAGGTATTAGTATGTTCCCAGCTTGGGAAGCTGCTCTGATGTCAGCTCACTTAAAATAGAATTCCAAATGAGCGGCTTCATTAGGGGGAGTCTAAAATTAACACCATTCCTCACATGCGCACACGGGGCTGGTGGGGGGAGGGGCGGGGGAGGGACGGCCTTGGGTACCAAAGAGGATACACTGCCAAATTTTTTACAGGCGGGGCTTTAGAGTCCCTTCACTCACTGGCCTAGACCCATGAGGGATGGTGCCTATTCTGTGCCTAAATAATAATAAGAAGAAGCCACTTCTATAGGCAGGTACCAGTGTCCACAGAGGCTCAGGAGCGGCAGGCAGGGGCAGCGGAAAGGAGAGAGGTGGCCACGGGATGCCTGCTCTCCCTGCCCTCATTAGGGGGGTATTTATTAACTTCTCTGCTCCTAGCCGTCGACTGGATCCTCCTCTACGGGACTGGCTCGTGTGAATTCATTATCCTAACAGCTGGGGAATAAGCTGTGTGGTGCACGGCCCGTGATGGATGAGGCCCGGGGCCGCCTGTGCTGTCCATGCTCTCCAGGCGAGCAGCTCAGTGGGAAAGCAAACCTAAATCTAAGTGGCCTCCTGGGCACTCTACACTGGCTCCTTCCTGCTGCCTCGTCCAAACCTTCTCTCTCAACTCAGCCTCGGCTTTCCTCTCTCTAGACCAGCGACGAGAGCTTGGGTTCCTGCCAGAAGCAGCTATCTCCACAAAATAGCCAGGGGGTGGGGGTTATGGGAGACAGCCAGGCTTCCTCGGTGCACCCTGCCTTGCCTGCCCAATTTCTAACATGCCTTTAGGTTTCCAACATGCCCAGGTGCATCAATGTCAAGGAAGGGACCCCAGGGCATCAGGCAGGAGATACTGTTCGACTCACCTCCCTCTGGCCCTGCACAGTTGACCCCCAGCAGGCTTCATGGGGTGGGGGGCTGGCTGGGGGGGTCTCCAACGCCACTTCCCTCCTGCAGTACATCAGGAGTTATTAATCAGCCCAGCCTCCCTCCCGTTGAGGCCGTAATTACCGTCCCTTTCATCCCAGCTCCTCCCGGCACCAGATCTCGGGCCTGCTCCTTCTGCTCTGTAATTACCAGCTAATAGCGGAGATGAATTTTCTGAAGGCCTGGTTCAAGCACCAATCCGCCCCCTCCTCTCCCTCAGCAGCCCCTCACCCTGGGGTAATTACACCCAGGGAAGCCGTGCCCGGCAGAGGAAAGCTCTCAGGCAGCGTGGACCTGGATGCTCTATCTGCCCCTTCGACATTTTCCATTACCACACACTGAAATGTTTGTGAACAGACCAGAGGCTGGGTCAGCCCAGGCTCTACGCCCCACCCCCTGTGATCCCCGTGTGGCCCAGAGGGTGTTGCTTCTGCAGCTCTAACAAGGCTGGGGTCACCCTGCTGCAGGGACCTGGCAGCGGCTGTGGTAAGCGTGGGGTGCCACGTGATCCCCAGAGCCCGGATGGCTTCATAATAAATTCATTATTATGTGCCGACACTGGTTTGTTCTGAGTGCACCCATGTGGGGCAGCTTCTCCAGGGCACGGGGGGGGGGGGGGCAGGGAGGTCTGCTGATGTTCAATGGTTGAGTGTACCCCCCCCAGGCTGCTAAATACTGCCCCACTGTGGCTCGCAAGGTCAGCTCCCCCAGGAACCTCCTCACAAGGCATCAGAGTGGGAGAACAGAGCAGATGGTGACTCCTGACCCAAGACCGTGAAAGCAGAGAAAGCAGCAGGCGAGTGGGGTGGTCAGGGTATGACAGGGGCTCTGATCTGTGGGTCAGGGGGGGACAAGGCAGCCAGGCAGAATGAGGGAGAGAGACAGGAGAGGTTTATCCACCTCGGCACTGTTGACAAGAACAGGAGGGGCCGCCCACAGCACACATAGAATGCCATGATGTATAAGCAGCCTCTGGGGTTCTCCGAAGCCACGGGAGGGAAGAGGATGGGGACCCTTCGGTACCCCCTCCCCCACAAGCCTTTCCCTATCCACCAACCACCATGATGTCAAAGGCCCTTCTGGCTTAGTGTTCAGAAAAACTTGGGAGTACAGTGTGACAGGAGACCCACACATGGTGGATCGAAAAGATGCAAAGGAAGGGGTAACAGCAAGGGACGGTGCTCGAACTCCGGGTGCTGAGGCAGGGGGACCATGGGTTTAATGCCAACCTAGACTTGGTGAAAACTCGTCTTAAGAACAAGTAGTGAAAAGCAAGCTGGGGGTGAGCTCAACAGTAAAGTGCTCGCTTAGCATGGAGAGGTCTTGGGTGCAGGACCCAGTATGACTGGGGGAGGGGGAGAGGGAGAGGGAGGGAAGGGGGAGGGGGAGGGTGGGAAGAAGAGCCACGGGGCTCTGTGGCTGCAGCAACTTTCGCCCTGCACAAGTCAGTATGTGGGCCAGCTGACACCGGCCTCCTAGGAATCACCTGACTAGGTACAAAGCGACGGAGGTTCCCG